TCCACAAGTCATAAAAGGGCCAAGTTTGAAGACCCCTGACCTAGATCATCAGAAGCCATGATCACTTTTTTTTAACATCTTCCCTTTTAAAAATGTAATGTCTAGCCTTTCTATTTTCTCCTCTGTTTTAGTATTTGGCAACTAACTTGGGTTTGGATGCAATTGGATTTGGATACTTGCAAACATTCTTTGGTATTCTTCAGCTTCTGGGTGGCCCCATCTTTGGAAGGTAACTTTAAAGGATTGTTCTTCTGAGCTCTTGTGCAATGGCAGAATTGTCCTAAATTAATAGTGTCATGTTTAACTTAGGAAAATAATTCAGATTTAGTATCCAATTTCAATTACACATGCAGGATAAAACAGAAAAGGAAAAAATCTAAAGCATACCCTCCATTGTGTATTAACTACTTAGGGATGTGATAAGAGCAAAACTGTTTTCCTTTCAACCTTGGTGTCTTCAGACTACAAGCTCACAGATTTTTCCAAGGAGCATTGCCGGGAACTCTGGGAACTGAAGTCCAATGCAATTTTCTCTAAGCTTGGGGAACCCAGGTGTAATGCTACCCGCTGCTGATAACATCAGTTGATTGGAAAGACTATATAGGGCAGGGGTGTCAAACTGCCGGCCCACAGGCTGGTTTCATCATACCGGAGCCGCGCCCACCCCATTGCCGGCAACGGCGAAAAAGCTCCGATATGTTGCGCGACGTCGTGTGACGTCGCGAGTTTGACATGTCTGATATAGGGAGACATGTCTGATATAGGCAATTTAGTAATCTGTGTTATTTGCTAAAATTTTCAGGATCACATACGTTTAGAATTATTCTGAGCATCTATTTTTGATTGGTACTCATCAGTCCTAATGAATATTTTCCAATATTCAGATAGATGGATGGATGGATGGATGGATGGATGGATGGATGGATGGATGGATGGATGGATGGATAGATAGATAGATAGATAGATAGATAGATAGATAGATAGATAGATAGATAGATAGATAGATAGATAGATAGATGCAGGCACACAGACAGACAGACAGACAGGGATAGTCCTCACCTTACGACTACCATTGGACCAGAATTTCACTCGTTAAGTGAATCGCACCTGATTTTATGACTTTTTTTGCCACAGTTGTTAAGCAAAGTAGTGCAGTTGTTAAGTGGACTGTACAGCTGTTAAGCAAATCCAGTTTCCTCTATTAACTATGTCAGAAGCCAGCTGGGAAGGTCATAAATGGCAATCACATGACCCTGGGACACTACAACCATCGTAAATACATACCAAATTTTGATCACACAACTGTGGGGGTGCTGCAATGGCTGTATGTGCAAGGACTGACCGTAAATCACTTTTTTTAATACTATTGTAACTTCAAATAGTCACTAAACAAATGGTTTTAAGTTGAGGACAACCTGTAGTTAGATAGGTTTGTGTTCCGGTTTTTTGACAATCAGGTTGATGGCTTCCAATATGACGGGTTCTGCTTTTCTAACTGAGGTTCAGTCAATGTTCTAAATATGCTGCATTCTTCTTCCAGGTTTGCTGACCAGTTTGGAACTAGAGCTGCCTTGACCCTTTCATATTTGGCTGGATCCCTGTGCTTCTTGCTCCTCTCTGTATCCATCAGTGTCCCGCTGCTCTTTCTATCCAGGGTTCCAGGCATCTTCATTCATGGATTACCAGGTAATGTTACAAGATATACAAATCCAGAAGTCAGTTGACTCCAGTTACCTTGGTTATTAATTGAGCCTGCAGCCCTTCAGAGGTGGACATGGAAAGATAGCTTGTAGTTCAATAAAAGCTCACAATTTTCCACTGTCTTCACAGGTGCACAGATGGTTATAACAGATTTGACAACTCCGGCCAAACGTGCTGATGCTTTAGGAAAGCTTGGACTTTGTTTTGGAATAGGAGTAATTCTTGGATCATCCCTGGGCGGTATTTTAACCACAAAGTTTGGGTGAGTAGTCTAATGGCCAAATAAGTAGTTGTGCTTGGAGGGTAGCCATATTCCAGCTATGAAGTTGGATCATTCTTGACCTATTAAGAAATACCTTACTCTGTGCCAAGATATCAGTAAATAATGTGAAACTGGGTGGAAAAATATAAAGGAAAAGATTGCTCTGTGTTGAGAAGGAATAAAGTTCTGCTTAGTAGACCCTCCCCCCCAAAATTGTTGTTTGTTTGCTTGTTTTTTCTTCTGTTTTACTGGGTCTGATTCTCAGAGACTGCCTCAGCAAGTCCCTGCAGTTTTCTTGGCAAGGTGTTTCAGAAGTGGCTTGCCATTGCCTCTTTCTAGGGCTGAAAGTGACTGGCCCGGTGTCACTCAGCTGGCTGTGTGAGTAAGGTGGGAGCAAAGACCACAGGCTCCCAGTTTGTTAAGCCTGATGACTTAACCGCTACATCAAACTGGCTCTCTGTAATTTTTAATCCTCTTTCCATTTGCCGGAAAAGAAAATGATTCTGAAATGAAGACCAATTCTAGTTTCTGGATAGATAAAATTCTCATGGGGGAAATGTGGAATTCTTGCATTTGCCCTGGTTACCAGCAACTGAGGGTTTGTGTATGTGTTCACTCTTTCACCCTACAATAATTTCTCCAGTGGTTTGTAGCTTTTCTAGTTTCAAACACTTCAGTGGAGTCCCAAAAGAAAAAAACGAGGGAATTCCTTCAACATTCTTTTTTTTTTTTTCCAAACCAAACACCATTAACAGGTGGGGAGGCTAAAGTGTGTTTTCTTCTAAACAATGACTTATAAATTGGGGGCAGAAATGGTGAGTTATATTGTGTTACATTTATGTTCAAGATCTTGGAAAATAAGATAATAGGAGAGATGCAAGTGACCATACATATTGAGGGTCATTGCTAGGGAGTGGTTGTTTGCTGGTGAATTTAACTCTTTTTGTATTAAGTAGACTCAATTGGTCTGATCGTTTTTCACCTGTGCCTGCTTGCTCTTTTCTCTTTTCCCTTGTCATTTAATGGCTTCTTGGAGGTGTATATGCAAACATATAATATGCACATATGTACAAGTGTGTCTGATGCATAGATTTATTGGAGAAGCAAAGTGGAAAATGTCCATAATAGATTTCAAGTAGAGTTAAGATGCAGATTACTGCATACTGCATAGGATTTTATCAATAAAGGAGAATATTTGTAGCTCAGGGTTGAAACGAGTTGAACTGAAATGAACTAACACTGATGATGTTACCTAGTTTGAGTAATGAAACATCTGCAAGAAAACAACCAAGTTCAGAGAGCACCAAAGACCCCTCGCCGGATTTTATCCCCGTTTGTTATTTTTTTGCTATCTATCCAGCTGGAGAAATCCTCTTCCTTCTGAACTCGGCTAAGGGGAAGCACCTAACCAGCCTTGGCTGATTTTGAAAAAGCTATGTAGGATCAATATAAAATGATAATCAGATGAAGATAACCAGGAAATACTGTGAACTGGACTGAAAGGTCAAGAATACATCTTGATGGAGTGCTGCGGCAAACCAATTCTGCACATTGCCAAAAATGGTACAAGGAAGTGTCCATGAAATCAACACCAGGAGATTTTGCCTTCGCCTTTTTATTAGCTCCCAGTATGGAGAGCAATTCTTAGTAGAATATGAGAAGTGCAAGTTCCAGGATCTATTCTTCTGGGAGGATTAGAAATACGATAAGAGATTAATCCCAGCAGGCTTTAAAATGACAAAGCAGCGGTGAACTGCTCGAGTATTTGTCTTTTGTGTGCCAGATCAGTGAATTTAAACAAGTATTTTAGAAATTGCTCCAGAGCAGCCCTAGTTTAGAAGAAGGTTAAGAAATCAAAGTCCATGCTGAATGTTAAGTCTCCTCCCACCCTGTCCAACAAGGGCTATATTTACCCTCCACTCTTATTCTTTTTCCTTCTTTTTCTCTCACTAAATATGTTATTGACTAAGGTTGTTTTGTGAAACATACTTAGATTTAAAATGCAGATTAATCTTCTGAGTAGGTGACCATTCTGCTATGTTTTGAGCCAGCAAACTGTATTTAGCCAGTTGAAAAAAATACGTATTTTATCTTATTGCAAACCTGAAAACCAGAAATTCTATTTCTACATCAAGTAGCCATCATAGAAGGAGGCAAGTAGAGTACAGCTGTAAATTATTCAGACTGCCTGAAGCATAAAATCTAATTCATTTTACAGAGAAAGAAATGCTGCTGCATTTCGAGAAATCTTTCTCAATAACATCTTCTAAACGGATCATTCTCAAAAGCACCTACTAAATCTAAATAAAAGACAAAAACGGGGGCAAACCTGTACTATTTTATTCTATATCTCCGAAGGCAAGCTATTATAATAAATGTACACATTTGACCACTAGGTGGCACAGTTTTCCTCTCGATGTTTTTGTCCATTGACGGTACCATACATTCTGCCCTTGATTTGAACAGTTAACACTCCCTAATTTGTGCCTTAGGGAGAATGGAAAATATAGCACAACTATATCTTATCCCCACAACGTGGGTGGATCCTAACAGGAAGTACCGGGGCTGTAGAGTAGGAAGCCGAAAACATCCTGGAAGAAGACATAACAATCCAATTCTGCATTTTGCCAAGAAAACTGCTTAGAAGTTTCCATGCGGTCACCAGGAGTTGAGCTCTTCTCTTTCGTGACAATGGGGAAATTGTGTTGAGAATTGTCTCTTGGCATTTATCTGTTGGCAATGGCTTGCCAGAATAGCCTGCTTAGAATAAAATGCTTTGAAGAAACATCTTATTTAGATCATAGGGAGGGAGCTTTGTGTGTTTGGATTTCTACATGTGCTGAAAGGGTCAAAGAAAGTTAAAGTCAGCTATCAACTTCTAGTAGTTCAAATGGTTTTGTGGAGGCTACTGACCAGTGCCTACATCACATTTGAGGTTTTTAGCTGTTGATCAAACCATACAGTGATTTTTGATAGACTTTCTCAAGGTATTTACTTCAGAGTGAGTTAAGGTCTACAACATTGTCCACAAATGGAAACTTAAGAACTTCATCTTAAGCTCAAAATTTTGTGTGCTTTTTAAAATTAAATTTCCTAGTGGCTTTTTCATCTTTTCCTCACAGAATTTACTTGCATACCTTTGATCATGTTCATTGAACATCAAACATCAATTTCAGTGTGTCCTGAACGTATAGAGTTCATGATTTCACAGGGAATTGACAGCTCTCTATGAAAAGTCAGAGCCTGCGGTGCATTGGCCTGACCTCAATGCTCCATTGAAAATATAAATAACTTTTTCTTCATCTTAAATTAAAAATCCTTTTTTAATCCAGTACATTTAAAGGGTACAGGCTGGAAAAAAATTGTTCTGATGAATCACTTCTAAGCTCCACAGTTTGAACCCTGCATGTTATCACTCTTCTCTATCCCTTCCAGTCACTAAAAATACATCACCCTTTCTAAAGCATTGATTAATATAGGCCAGAGGTAGGCAACCTTGGCTCTTTTATGACTCAGGAATTCTGGGAGTTGAAGTCCATGAGTCATAAAAGAGCCAAGGTTGCCTATCCCTGATTTATAAGCCTTTGTATTTGCTTCATTTTGTAGCAGGATCTATGAAATCTTTTTATTTAGCACACCTAGAAGCATAACTGATATGAAATCCTATATTTAGCTTTAGCGTTTAATTGTACAACTCCTTATCTTTTTTCTAGACACCACACAGAATTTCATCCATTTGGTTTGAGGAAAAAAATCTGTAGCTGGATAACAGTATGGAAAAAAATAGATTTACAGTCAGATTGAGTTATTTTTTTCAATATACACTAGGTGGTGCTAACATGTTGGAAAAGGTTGAAGTGAGGGTGGTTTTTATATATATATATGAGGGTGAGTAAGAGCACTCAGGATCAATTTGTTCTGATTACCTGGTCCATAAACTTTTTATCATGCCATAATGAAGCAACTTGTAATGGGGCTTGGGAAAATATGCATTACATGGTGTGGTTGTTTATTAGTTATTTCTAATTAACCTTCATTTTAAAATATAGAAAAGGAAATGTGAGGGATACTGACTTCTGGATGTACTTCAGATTGATTTGCTACTAGGAAAGGACGCAGGCTAAATTTGCTGGTTCAAATTATTTTAGCAACCTTTTCCCTGGTTTCCCGTTACATAACAGGATTTCCACTTTCTTGCTGATCCCGTGAGTAATAGAAATAAATTTTCCTATTGCCTTTTGACAATGCTTGTTATATACACACAGGGAAGAGGCATGAATACAGTGAGCATTGTAAGTTGTAACCTGGTTCCAAAACTACCCTCTTTTGATGCATAACTACACCAAATCTTATAAATAGGGAATTAGAAGTAAAACTCACAATATCTAATTAGATCTATTCCAATTTGTATATACCACTTCAGGCTTCTTCCCCATAAGGAAACAGATGTCCTTCCAGATGTTGCTGCACCATTTCAGCAGCTCTAGCTGAAAGAGGGTGATGATTGAGTTCAATTCATCTCTGGAGGATCACTTTCACTCAGCAGAGCTGAAAGGCTGCCTACCCATCCTTAAGCCATCAGAAAATGAAACTGACATGAATTTGCTATCCCTGTTGCCAATTCTGATCTGCTTTGGTAGCTTCTATAATAGCTTGCCACAAGATAGTTGTGTCCTAATTTGGGGTGTGCGGGACAAAGTAATTGATTAAACCTTGTGGCTTCAGTGTCCTTCTTTCTCACATCACTAATTTAGCAAAACCATCCAACAATCTAAATAGTGCTATGACTGGCAGATGGTTTTGACATATTTGGTCTAGCAGATTTACCCATTATCAAAACCCAAGCCTGTTAAATAGCTAACTTTTGGAGTGGGCGCTGCCTGGTAACTTGAGAATAGTTCTCTGGTTTTTCAAGGCAACTAACTCCCTTAGCCCATAGTTCAGTTCTTTATCGGAGGACTTTTTTTGGCAGAGAGTTTAGAGTTATTTTGAAAGAGAGC